GCCCCGCCATCTTATTGGTTTAATAAAATGCTGACAAAAGTAGCCAGGCAAAAAGTATAGGTGGGACAAGCAGATTAGAATTCTGGGAAGAGCAAAAGCAGAGACGTAGTCACAAGTCAGAGAGACAGAGGAAACAAGATGAGAATGCCATACTGAGAAAAGGTACCAAGTCACATGGCTAAACATAGACAAGAATTATAGGTTAATTTAAGTTGTAAGAGCTAGCTTTTTTTTCTTTTTTCTTTTTTTTTTTCCCTTTTTGGCTTTTCAAGACAGGGTTTCTCTGTAGCTCTGGGGCCTGTCCTGGAACTCACTCTGTAGACCAGGCTGGCCGCGAACTCACAGAGATCCGCCTGCCTCTGCCTCCCAAGTGCTGGGATTAAAAGCATGTGCCACCACTGCCCAGCTAAGAGCTAGTTAATAAAAAGCCTGAGCTAACAGGCCAAATAGTTTATAATTAATATAAATCTCTATGTGTTTCTTTGGGACTGAATGGCTGCGAGACCCAGCAGAACAGAAACTTACATCTACAGTGTTTGATCATCAGAATCCAGATAGTGGAAGAAAAAGAACTCTGCTTCAAGATGTCCTCTGACCTTCACAAACAAGCCCACATACATGTACACTCATGCACAAGCAATGCATACGTCCACAAACAATAAATACATATAACATAAAAACTTTTACATATCTTTAATCACAGCACTTGGGAAGCAGAGGCAGGTAAAACTCTTGAGCTTGAAGCGAGCCCAGTCTACATAGCGATACTCTGTCCCAGAAAAACAAAGAACTGAATGAGGGACGCAGACCACTTAGCTCTACTCCAGAAGGAGGCAGTGATGGAGAGAATAGTGTTTCCACTGCCAGAGGTGTCAGAAGAGCTCTTACTTGTTCTCTTTTCTCATGATTTAAGACAGAAACAAACACACAAACACAAATCCACAACTAAAAATAAAGTCTGAATACTACTAGTCTAAAATACAATTGAGGGGCAACTTGGGGATATACAAATTAGAGAGGAGATAACAGGCTGATGATATGGTTCAGTGGATAAAGATACTTGTTGCCAAGTTTGATGACCTGAATTCAATTCCCAGGATTAGAGGAGAGAACTATCACACGCTGTTCTCTGACCTGCATGCACATGCTACAAGCACACACCTCCCACTACCAAAAATAAATAAATATATTTAAGTTCAGATGAAAAAAGCAGAAAATGAGCTTGGCTATAAAAAGAGCAGGCTGGACATGGGCAGTTACAGATGGTCTTATCTTTTGATACTAAAGATCCAGGCTTGTCCAGCGTAGCCTCCACTTCTTCCTACCGCTATCCCAGGTCAACCATGACCTAGACATCAGTGAACATCAAACATCAAAGCTGTGATTTTCCCATTCTGACCTCCCAAACTAGATAAACCTAAAGTCAATGCTATCCTAGTCTTCTCTGACTTATTCCCAGCCGACAACCACACGTTCTTCAGCTCGCTTCAATATTTGCATATTACTTGAGAGCTATCAACTTTTAACCCTTTGGCCTGGCTAATTTCCTGGTAGACACAATCACCTCAGACCTCTGCATCTGCCTCCTCTACCAGTATTGACACCTCATGACAACCAGGGCTTGGTATGTACTTACTCTCTACCCTCAGGGCCTGCAGAAGGGATAGTTCTGCCAGGGTATCCACCACAATCCTTTCATGTGGCTCCTCATTTGGGGAAGTGGGGGATGAACCCTAATTCACATATTACTTGTTCACTTTCTTCCAATTCCAACAACCATAATGCAGAAACACATTACTTTCCTGTCAGTCACAAGAACCGCCAATCTCTTCGCACTTCAGCTCATCGTGTGCACTAACATCAAGGCAGCTTAACCATCCACTCCTCACCAGAGACAGCAGATAAATGGCAACAGCTTCTTTATCTGCCAAACCCTTACAACAACCCATCGAGACCCAGCTCTCACAGCACCTACTAAAGTCCAACCTTCCCAGCCCATCTTGGACTGGTAAAAACACACATACACGCATCAGGGTCCTCACTGACTTCCCTAGTCAAATAAACACCTCCTTTTCTGTCCTTCTCAACCACACCACCACCATCACCACCCCACGGTCTAAGAGTATAGTACACAGAACCTTTCTGGCAGAATCAAGGGCTTTTGCCTGATGCTTCCAAGAATGCTCACACCAGGAACAAGGTTACAGTCCAGCATGGCCAAGAAATGCTTCCAGAAAGCACTGTCCCCAAGTTCTTGGCTTCAGAAGCCATGTGGGCCAGAGAGCTCAACTTGCCCAGCACCTAGTAAGAAACAAAGCAATAGCCAATGATCCACAAGCAGAACCACAAGACTTGTTCTTTCTCTTACGATCATCCTTGAAGTTAATACTCCAACATGTACAAAATTATTTCAGTGGGTAATTCCAAAACAATTGATTTAGATTCAGCTAAGTGATCAGTGGACACACAGGAAACTAGCAAGGTTAGTTGTGCCAGGCTATAAATATAACTCAGTTGGTTAATGTTTGCCTAGCATGCATGAAGCTCTGTGTTTGATTCCTGCACCACATTAAACAGAGCATGGTGGTGCATACCTGCACTCCCACAACTGGACAGGTAAAGGTAAAGAATCGTAAGTTCAAAGTCATCCTAGGCTATATAGCTTAGAATACCATAAGATCCTGTCTTTAAAAAAAGAAAAGAAAGAAAAGTCAGGTGTGGTGACACACATCTTTAATCCTGGCACTTGGGAGGCATAGACAGGAAGATCTCTGTGAGTTTGAGGCCAGCCTGATCTACAGAGTGAGGTCCAGGATAGCCAGAGAGCTACTAAGAGATAAAAAACGAAACAAAAAAAAAAACCCAAAAACCAAAAAAAACCCAAAACCAAAACTGAAAAACAATCTTATCTAGTCAGCCCCAAGACCAAGGCCCCTCTCATACTTGATATTTTTTTTTTATTTTGGTTTGTGGGGGGAGGGGAAGACAAGGTCTCACTGTATTGCTCTGGCTGTCCTGTCCTGGAATTCACCTTGTAGACTGGTGAATTCAGACTGGCCTCAAGCTTGAAGATCCTCCTGCCTCTGCTCCCTCAAGCGCTGATATTAACAAAATGTGTCACTATGACTGGTTTTACCTTTTTTTTTCTTTTCAGCACTGGAAATTAACCTAGAGTCTCACAGGAGCAAGGGAGGCAAGTGTTCTATCACTGAGCTGCGTGCCCAGCCTCAAACTTGCTTTTAGACATAAAATTATATTTATGACTTCTCCGTTGCCCTAACTACTCCTCCTTTACCTCATTATAACAGTACTCTCTTTCATGATTCTCCTAGGGGACTGCAGGTGACAGGAAGCAGCCAGTCACTAGCAAGGTAAGTCTTTTTTCTCCCACATCACTGTGTCTCTTGAACGAATCTCTCCCACACGGGTAAGGACAGGTCAGGTGATGGTGTGGAATAAGACCTGGGCCTGACACACCCAAGGCCAGGGTTTCCAGGGAGCCAGGGGCTCACAGCAGCAACCCAACTGCCACTTTTCCACACACACACCTGAGAAGGGGGCTGACACAGTTCAGGAACACAATGATGTGCAGACGAATGAATGTGAGTTCTAGCACCTAGACCTAGCTCTGCCGGAAGCTCATACACAGGACTTTCCAATTAAATAAAATCCTAACCTTTTTTTTTTTTTTGCTTAAGCTAAATTATCATTTCACACGCCTAGAATGAATAAAGCCTTGTACCACTGCTTACAAAAAGGCTACTTTTTTGCACTTGTTGGCTTACAATGGACCGTGGCCTTGCCTTATCTCTTCCTAGCTGTCTATCTGGACCCGAGAACCGGACCTGTGTTACAGACTAAGCGATTAGAAGGCGAGGTCATCGGTTGAGGGTCTGCAGTTAGTGAAAGTAAACAGTAAGTCCTCACGGTCCTCACCCCGCCCCGCGCGCAGGGTAGGGTCTTGTTCGGGGCCAAGTCCCACTCTTACTTTCCCGTGTTCTGTTACCTCCAAGGGCATAACGGTGGCCACAGTCGCTCCTGTCGGGGTTTACTAAGCAAGTCTGAGGTTCTAACGGCTGCCACCCCACCGCACAAACTTCCCGGAAACGCTTTTAAAGATCGACCCTGGCTACTCCTGGAAGTATTTATTCCGAGTGCACCAACCAACAGGCCTCTCCGTGGGAGATGGTGCTGCGTGGCAAACCCCATCTCTACCCTGCCCAAGGCACCAACCCCGAGCCGGGAACCCCAGGGCGCCCTCAGTCACCGACCTCGGGTCCGCGAAGGGACGCTCCGGTCCAGGTCGGGGCACAGCAGGCGACGTAACGAACGGGACCCGCCGTGCGGAGTCCCCCGAGTCCCCGCCCGCCGCTGCGGCCGGCTCCGGCGGGGCGAACGAGCGG